ATGGGGAGAAGGAAGAATTGGTCTGCTGCCTCGTTTTTCCAGCCCACAGGGTACAGCACCACTTTCAGACAAGACCTGCGCGGGTGATATAGGCCTGTCAGTGCATACGTTCACTTGGGGATTATTAACACACTGATCGTGAATAAACCCTGAAAACGTACTGACCGGTACCCAGCCCCATACGAATACAGCACATCCCTTTGCACACATCAGCGGTTTGTGAGCAGCAGTGAAGAAAGTGCCAATCAAATAAGCACCTGAGCAGTTCTTTTCTCCTGACTTCCCTCTTCACTTGTTTTTATCCATTTGTTGTTAAAAACAAGCTGAACCAGCTCTTTTGCAGAAGTTAGCAATGTAGAAGACTCTGCTGGAACAGAACAAGCAATATTCTTATCAGAGGGATGATAGCACTACATTAAGGGGCTACTGGTAATTGTTGTATTGATGCTTTATACATTTTTAATATTTAATGAAGCTCAAAAGGATTATTAAAGAATTGCTGGTAATGTAGCTTATAAAATGCAGTAACGAGGGTCTTTATTCAGATATTGCACTTGTGGGATTGAGAAATCAGGAAAATCATCACCACATTTTAATAACATTATGAATAAGCTGTAATGCTCACATAAACACGCTATTGTCCACGCTTCAACGACAATATTGATGCTGGGTACCATGCAAAGCCCAGTTTCACCACCTCTGTACAGTGGTTTTGTTTTCATTTGTGTTTCACTTTTTGAGAAATGAGCATATAGCTCTTCCTAAAGGAGAGGTTCCACAATCCTGCAGCCTGACGTTTTTGAGCAGAGGCCCAGAAAACACCCTCCACTGTGAATGTGACAGAAATGAGTAGTCACCTCTTGCTTTGCCGAGGGACATGTGTAATCCTATATCTATTGAACACATTAGTAGTTCATTGATATGGAATAGGTACAAAATGCAGATCAGATGTTTCAGAAGAGCACTTCAGTGCAAAGTGTCGGTGAGCCAAGTCTATAACAATGCACCCTTCCCACATTGTAGAGGCACTGAGTCTAACGGCCTCTTGCGGTATGTATAAAACACACGACTCATCCCTGTCTATCAGCAAAGGAAAGAAAACCATCTGGGATAAATTCAAACAAGCTGCTTCCATTTACTTCCAGTGGGGCTCCACTGACGGGTTTCTGCCATTTCACAAAAGACTTTCAGACCACTCATTTTCTTCCTCTTCCCCCCCCCACAATCGTTCTACAAATCAAATTCCACATTAAAATTGAATCAGGCAGCAAACAGATACCGGAGAAACACCTTTCTGTATAAACGAGACAATAATGGGACCAACTATGAACCAGACTGCTCAAAGAAGCAACAGAAGAGAGGTCTAGACACAGAGTCGCTGCACAGACGAGCCCCATGCTTGACAAACCAGGCTGGTCACTGTTACATATCTCTCCCTTTAGTTCATCTATCAGAAAAGATCATGGACTCACTCATGGGAATCTTTTATGTTGATATGAATATAAACTGTCAGTGTTAAATGGTGACATATTATGTAATGGTGATACTGTGAGACTGTCCAACTGAAACTGAAGACCTTGCATTGTAATGTCTTACTCATTGGACCAGGACAAGATTGTACCAAACCCCCATTATGAATATTCACCATAGTAGACATGCAGGGAACCATTTTCCTTTGGTTTAATCATGCTTACACCATGACTGCCTCTCTTACCTTGTTTTTCGAGTATGGATTTGTGTCATGCCTGACTGCTCTCCAGGCTGGAACGGGAGTGCACTGTGCATTATTTTACAATGGCAAACAGCAGTAAAGCATTAAAATGGGACTACTCCTTTTAGAAATGCAAACACAGAAAAAAGACACACTATTCCTGTCATGTCCATCTCCCTTTGTGCAGGGAGTAGGCAGTGCACGGACACTGGGTCAGAGTGTAGGGCTCTCCTGTTGCCCCGCTGAGCAAGGTACTTCTCTCAGGCTCTGCTCGAGGTCCTGTGGAATGAGAGGGTCTCCAGGCCACCAAGGTAAAAAATTCAGGGCTAGTGCTCCCAACAAAAGAGGACCAGAAACGTAACTCCGCTGAAACAAAGATTCAGCTGAACCCTTTAACACACAAGCAGAATGATTAAATGCAACCTATTAGACTTCACAACTTTTCTGTGTCAAACTTTAATAACGCTTCCTAGTGCAATTTTCAACACTTCCCTGAGTAAACTGGAAAAGTTACTCCTAACTAGAACTGCTCATGCATGGGGTTTGATCTTTAACACTTTGTCAATTAGTCCTTTATTTAATGAACTTAAAAATTACTGAAGTGTTTCCCCCCTTCTTTTCACACATAAAAGCCTACCACACCAATTAGCCTTAATTCTTTTCTTCTTTCTTTTCTTGCTTGGAGTCGGCAAAAACTGGCGTATTCCAACGATTTACATTATCCTCCAAATCTCCTTTGAAGTTCTAAGATACTGTAAGAAAAAGGAGCCACTTATCTGCACATAAAAAATGTTCAAAGCCTATAAATACCCTGGAACAGATGTACATTATCATTGGATTTGCCTTTTTCATTTTGGTTCTGTATTGGTAAAAGAGTACCTTGTGTCCTTCTCATCCTTAGCATTTAGCATCTCCTTTCTACAGAAGCTAGCACCCCACTGTGCCAATCCACACTTCAAAGGACTCTCCCTATCTGCTGGAAACAAAGCACAAAGTGAAAACATATGGCCGCTTTTAATTTTCCCACATTTAAGTCAATATCATTGCCTCTCTGCTTCTGGCAAGAACATGATAGGGTTCATCTCCCCCCCCTTCTTCCATAATACAAAATCTCACAGAAGGAAAAAAAAATTCATAAAATATGACACCCTCCCTCCCCCCCACCAACCACCACCACCTCCTTCTTATATACTTGCCACTGCGGTGTCTTTCTTTTTAGAAAACAACATATAAATAAATGCATTTTGTTTTAATTGCCTTTAATTCCCGGGGATCAAACGGCTGGATTGGGACGATGAACATGTGCCAGCAATGTCTGCCTTCTTTTCAAGATAAGCAGAGCCACAGTGGAGGAAATCTGCTCAACGAGCAGGACAGCCATCCTGTGAGGTGAACATGAGCCCCCCTCGTTCCTTTCGCCTGGGGGCGGGGCGGGGGCCACGGTCACGGACCGATATTCCCTCTGCCCTGCGTTTTGTTACTCCACCCGTTTACTCCCGAATATCCCAAGGAATACAAATACCTCTTTATAACAGTGGCGCAGATATAAATGTGGGATTTCGATACAAATGTGTGATTGACATGGCGAGCCAGCCAAGCAAGCGAGCCTACAGCTACAGAAGACTCGAGCAACTGCTGTGGGATACTTTGCGAAGCGGTCTTCAGGTGCCTGAAAGGCCCGTCACTCTACAGAGGGCAGTATTTAACCAAGCCTGCCAGTTGCACATTCCAAACCAGAACCTTAACGGCTGATTTCCATTGGAGTTAGAATCAAAACAACCTCTGGCACACGGAAAGCTTTCAGCAAGTGGTACTTCCAGAACACACTGTTTGTCAGGAAGGTCAAAGTTTTAATTTACCTTGGACCACAGTCTCACCACCCTCAGATAATCGCCGAGAGACGCGTCCAGGGAGACTCAAGCCAGTTGAACCTGCTCTGTTTAGCTACACTCTTATCCACATGGCTGTGGTGATGGCAAGACAAACTGCAGCTGTGTCCTAGATCGTAATATCTTCCATATGGAAAGTTCCACTGCTCCCCATTTCATTCAGGACCTGCCATCAGAAGAGATGCCAGCTCCCGAACAGATTAATTCCTCATAAATATCTTCCAAATGAATTGACATCAGTTAACATTTCCTGCAGGATCTGGAGGAGGGAGGGAGCAATGCAGGCCTAAAGATTAACTTGCACAAAAAGGTTATTGCCATTCGAGTTGTAATGACAGCATGCTAGGAAGAAGGGGCCAGAGTTAAAAAGGAGGTTGTGGTGGTGGTGGTGGGGGGTAGCCCGCAGTAAATCCACATGTGTCTGTCACATGGCAAGTTCAGCACAGTGCAGGAATCTCACTAGCGCAGTAAGCAGCACATTCCAGACCCACAACCTCAGCACTGCTCATTCACAAGCTACAGTGCTTCATGCTGCCAAATCAGTCGGAGTCAGTTGTAATGTACCACCATCTGCACCTTGGTGGCATGCCTTTGATAAGCACTTACCTTTGTCTTCAAACATTTCTTCTAAAGCAAAAAAGAACCTGTGACTTGTACTACAAAGGGGTTCGTACAGCTGAAATCCTACATGCTTCGAGTTGAAGTGATCAGCACGTGACCTTTATGACTTCGACAGACCCGGTCCTTCACTTCTTTTCCAAGACGGGGTCTAAGGAGTGAGAATCAGTCGCAATATGAGTGGGGGAGGTTGCAAACTCTCCGATACATACTGTAGCATTGTCCAAGACAAATAGAGAAGCTCTCTGAATGAATTTAATACGAGCGCCAATAACCATTCTTGGGGTGCATATGGGTCATTTCCATTCAAATAACCAATACTTCAAACTATTGATATTAAATTATTATTAAAATACTCTAATGAATCAATCTGATTAAATAAAGTAGGAGGCTCAAATTTAAGATCAAACAGGGAAAAAAGTTCTCTAAAATGATAACATGGTTGCATGACGTTCCTGAGACGTGCTTGTGTTATCGTTATATTGTTTAAACACAGTGCCATCTACCCGCACTGCGTTTATCAATGAGTTCAGGGGGACTCCCAGAGCATGTCCACTCTCACCCTCACCTCTCCGCACGTGCATCTGCTTGTGCCGGCTGCTTTTCATACCTTTGACCAGTGAGCAAAGGCTCCACATCACTGGAGCACCGAAAACCGGATCGGACACAGGCATTCAATCAGCGAACCTCGTTCATACCCACAGCCAGTGAGACGTCAGCTCACAGGCACAAATCACTGCTGCCTCTCTTGGACCGTGACAAAATCAAGAGCCCAAACACCGTTTGAGGAACTAGTTTTTAACTTTTAATGAAAGAGGGTTCTCTGGGCACAGATCTGCTATTAAATAAATAAAGCATTGAATCAAAACCATCTATATATATACTATACAAAATACTGAAAGAAAATTAGGCAAAAAAATAAAACATACACCACTGCAGCTCTGACGCTGTAAAAGCTGTCACGTGCTGGAGATCTCCCACAATATGTACTAGAAAGAAGTGTCAAATAAGAGTTCTTTGCTGTCCACATCACTGGACAGAGCACATTTAGGTGGAATGATAACGTAGGCGTACTGTATGTGATAGCTTTGCAGACATACTTTTGATCAATAGTCATTTTGTTAATATAAATAAGCTTATTCCTTCAAAAAGACACTTGTATATCCTTTTCGTCTGTCATTAAAATATATACAATACCTTTCATGTGTGGGTTTCATAGACAGACGTACACACCCTTTAAATCACACAACCTAGTGGCAAAATACAGTATGTAAAAGTTTTTTTTTTTCCCTCTGTTTAAATACTGTAAATCCTAAATATCTTAGCAAGGTCCTACAGTATGGTGGTTGCCTACCTTGTATTGTAAGGTACTACAATATGGATATTGAAACATCTCAGATTTGTTTTTCCTGAAAGGAGAGGCTCTCTTTCCAAAACGACACAGGAACACAGAAGGTGGCAGTGCCCTTTTCTCTACACCAGCCCTTGCCAGAAGCCGGGAGACACCTCTCTCCTCAGGAAGGGTTTGGTATGCTGACCCACACGACAAAAACGCCACAGCTCTGCTGATCGAAAGCAGACCCAAAGCTATACTCCTAACAGAGTTTGAACCTCACAGAAAAACTTCATCCAGCCAGGCGCAATTACTCTTTCTAGGCCACTTTGTCACTTCTGACCAACCATCAATCAGCATGAACCAGGTACACTGTAGTGTCCACAACATAGTTAATGCCTACATAATATTCTATGATGAATACTTATCTTAATACTATGCAAATGTATATAATAAAGCCTATATAATATACATCCATTCGATATGCTATACAAAATGAAGATCTCACTTTTCTTTTGACCATCACACCAGTTTGTCACATTATGTGTTGGGTCTAACAGACTTTTTCTTTCCAATCAACAAAACGTGATGTGTTGCAAACTGCTAAATACTAAATACTATTCTAGAACCGTTAAGTGTCAATCTAGCACCTGGCTTGTAGATGAAAAGCAGCGTTTTTAAAACATAATTACACCTTCCTTCCACACTGTGGCACTATATGCTATGAGAAATCAAAACCACACAAACAGAGTTAATGGGAAAATAATGTTAAATCAAGAAGTGAATTAGCCATAACTGAACACACCATCCTAGAAAAACATTGCCATTTCCTCTATCAAGGTTAAAACTCAAAGCAAGCCAAAATGTCTGATCAGTCTGTGGGCCAGCGCATTAGATCAGTTGGAAAGTTGGTATTTTTTACAACTACTCTTTGCAGCAAAATCAATAGGCACTGGACAGACTTGTGTGTTCTCTAAATCCTACATGTCCACAGTCTCTGTCATATCTTACAACATTAATCCACAGTTATAAAAAAGAGCAAATGTACCTGAGAGTGAATGTATACTTGCCAACATTATTTAAAATGGAATTTTGTGCATGAATTTCGTGCATAATAGTCCCCTTTGTGTCAGGCAGCCACAGGTAGACATTGTTTTAAGGATGACTACAGGGTGGCCCTTGTTAGTGAATGCAGACGAAGTGGCCTTCAGAAACACCTAAACAGCATTCTTTGATTTAAGAGCCGAAACGAAGAATCTAACAAGTGAAGAAAATATACATGTTTCCGAGTGTGAATGGTAAGCTTTCAAAACAAGACTTGGTAAAGCTTGCATTGTTGACAAGTATAGTTAGTGTTAAAAAAATGCATACATATAAAAAGATTTTGTAGAGCACAATAAGGATACATGACTCTAGAGTACTTAAAAAAGACCTCCCATGTGGCACATTAAAAATCTGTCAACGAAAATAACATCTGAATAATAATAATAATAATAATAATAATAATAATTAGAATAGTAATAATCATAATAATAATAGAGGTAGCAGCTGTTGGAGTTTTCAGTTTGTTTTAAAATGTTTTTCCTTTTGTTTTTTAAATGTGTCCAGTCCCAGGTATTGCTTCTGGCTGGGGAATCCAGTCAGCACTGGTCCGCATCAGGAGGCCATCGCGGGCAGTCTTTCTCTCTCGCAGCCCAGCTCCGGAACAAGAGAACAGAGCACCTGGTGACTGGCGGTCAGCCAGGGAGCAGACCCAACCCTGCCCCCCCAGGCCAGTCAATCAGAGCGGCATCGCTCAAGCCCAGCTGCTCTTCGAGCCGCTGAAAGCAAACTCCCACGCCCGCGCGCCTGATCCCACCCCTTCTTCACACGTCCCACAGAGAGCAGGGGCCGAGGGTGTCCCCCGGGGGGCCGATGGGGGCCAGCGCTGCAGGGAACCTGAGACAGAGGTCAGAGCAGGGCGGTGGGCAACCACAGCAGCCCAGCCGAGCCCAGTTCCTGCTCTTCCGGGGCTCCACGAGCTCACTTCGCAGCTCTACCAGCACTGGAGGTGGAGACCAGCCCTGCTGCCTCTGCCAGGCTACAGCGCTCTGCCCCAGCCAGGGGATCCAGTCCACCAGGCCCCCCGAGGGGAGGAATCTGGGGCTGTGTTGCTCCAGCCCGGCCGCTGTCTGCTGTCGTGTTTGCGGACGTGTAGTGGGTGCAGAGGCGATGCTGGGCCGCGCGGGGGCTCAGGACTGGTAGAAGTGGTGGTAGTGGTGGTGGTGCTCGTGGTGGTGGTGGTGCTCGTGCCGCTGGACGACCTGGCCCAGGCCGCCCTCGTAGAGCAGCACGCCGGGCAGGTCCCGCACCTGCTCCTTCTCCAGCACGGGCCCCGGCGCGCCCAGGGCCCGGTACGCCTGCTGGCTCTCCTTCGCCCGCTGCTTGTGCCTCCTGTAGGGAGCCGAGGGCTGGGCCGGCGCAGGGAGGTAGGGGGCGTTCACCCCCAGCGGTGGAGGGGGGGCACCCCTGGTCCTCACCGCCCGGCCGGCCTGCTGCGGGTGGGGTGTCCGTCCCTGGGCCTTGGGTGACCGCACCGAGTGCTTCCCCGAGTCCTGGCCCCGCGGCTTGGACCCCAGCTCCAGAGCCCGCGGACACAGCGGCTCCAAGGGGGCACCGTGCCCGGGACCCTCCGTGGCCTGCGAGCGGCGGGGGTGCAGGGGGTAGGCGTTCTCCGGCTCATGAGACCGCGACCTGGTCTGGGGCTGGGTGCTGGCAGGATCCACATTGCTGCCTGAGATGTGGAAACAAAATGGTGTTAATACTCAGACACTCTCCGCCACAAAGATGAAAGGGAAGACACGAGGCAGTTTCTGCATACTAGTACTGATTTCAGGTGGGGAATAAGTAAAAAAGGGAAAAGTAAGTAAAAAAGGGAACGTTGCAGTGCTAAAATGATTATTTCATAGTTTTCTTGATCCAGTGCAAAACCTGCTGTTATTTTGAGCAAGTGGGAAGTATGCCCATTTTATTACCCTGGCTAAAAAAAAATCAGTGGGCATTTCTAAAATGTATCTCATGGAGGTGGTCCTGTCAGCAGTGCTCACCTGACCCAAAGCGGGAGGTGTAGCTCTCCAGCTCACCTAGCCCAAAGCAGGAGGTGCAGTTCTCAATACCTGACCCAAAGCGGGATGTGCAGTTCTCGATGCTCACCTGACCCAAAGCGGGAGGTGTAGTTCTCGATGCCAGCCAGGTCCAGGTAGTGGTTCCGGCGTTCCAGGTTCTCATCCACACAATGGCGCTGGCAGCCCTGCTGGGCGTGATGGTCGCTATGGTGACGCCTGCGGGCAAGAGAACGTGCCAGTTCTAGTGAACACTGCAACGCCAAACACTCCACACCCCGCCGAGCTCATTCGCAGGCCCTGCTTGAGCCAGTTTCGAGAAGGAACGCGAAGACCGCTTATCCCTTGCCCTGCAATGTCAGAGCATTCCAGATAAACCTGCAGAAGAGGTCAAATGCACACAGAAAGAAAGACCAGATCAGATATTCGGCCTGTCCTCTGCGCACACAGCAGGCAGTGAGACCTACCTCAGGGGAGCTCGGGTTTTTTTGTCCAAGCCTTTGGGGTCCTCAGGACATCTGATCTCTGCCTTCTGCCTGGGGTGTGGGGTGTCTACGGGAGAGCAGACATCATCACTACGTCAGATGCAACCTCTCAGACAGAAAGGCAAAACACCCAGAGACTGGCGTCTGTGCAGACAGACATCCAGGCCAGAGGCACCTTCTCCACCCATTCACCAGCTGGGTCCCCGACTTAGCAAAACGAGCTGGGGTAACAGGGAGACAGACAGGGGTGGGGCCACCTTGCACCCCCCTGGGGGAAGACAGAGACAGCTGAAGTAGCTGCCTGCATCACAGCCCGTCACATGTAGAGAGAAGGAATCAACAGCCACGACTGTACACAAACCCGTCAGCAGGTTCTATACACCAAACTGTAAGTATCTGTACATTATCTGGTACGTTTATAAATTGGGGAAATTTTTGCATACAATTTTTTTTTCTGTATTCATCAGAAGTCTCTGTACTTGAAGCATTTCTGCCTGTCATCCCGAGCATGCGTCAATACTTGGGCAAAACTTGTCCAATCTTGTCACGACAATAAAGCTTCACTTCAACTGAAATGAACTTTTGTTCACAGGCTTCTCCTTTGAAGATTTACACAAGCCAAATACAATGCTCCCTTTCTTCTAATGTAAATTATAGCTGTCATAAAAAAAAAATAACTTATGAACAGAGGGCACACATTTAAAATTAGCACAAGGAAATCTACCTTCCATGAGAGGCATTTGAAAAACATACAACTGAAAAATCAAATCAAAGACAATGTGAGATTAACTAGATAAATTGCCTCAATTTACTTTTTAGTTGTTTGCCAAGTTTAAAGCTTTAAGCTTGGCTTGCAAAGAAAAAAAAACACACACACATTTCACCCGTTATGAAAGGAGCCCTCCAAAATGGTTACTCTGCTATCAAAAGGAATATTTTCACCTCTTAAGTTTTCAAACTATTTGAAGACAGTGGGGGGTTTCTCAACGCTGTCGCAGCTCAGATCATTAAAAATAAACCCCATCGCGTTCTAGAAAGGAGAGAGATAGGAGACAGGAGAAAGAGAAAGCGCAGTTTGACGAGCTTTCGAATCCCGTCTTAATGAAAGGGTGGGTGTCACCGGAGGTCTTGGAAAAGAGAGGCACTCCCCTCCGTTGTCCTGTCATACCTCCAGTGCCCTGGGGGGCGCTCTTCCATTTCTGGCTGCCATCTGGGGCCACGGACAACTTGACGCGCAAGGTCTTGCTGGTGCTGGGGGAGTGGTTCACCGACGCGTCCACCACCTCGTAGATGGTGTGCAGCAGGCTGGTGATGTCCTAGGAAGGGAGAGGGAGGTCATCAGAGGGGCCACAGCCGAGAGCTCGATTACTGGGGTCAGGGGTCAGACCAGCCCCTCAGTTCCAACCGGCATCTGGAGGGGACCCGTGCAAACCTCAGAGGAACGTGCCAGCTCCCCACAGACAAGCCTCACTGCAACCTAAGGGGCAGTCGAACCCAGGATCTAGAGCTACAGGGCAGCAGGCCACAGTGTCTCCTGCAGAAATCCCATTTTGCAATAATTATTCCAGCCACAGAACAGGAATGCGAAAATTGTGTGTGTGTATGTTGGGGGGGTTCTCATTTTAAAACCGTGGTACAGTGTTGGGGTGGTAGGGCATGGTTTGGCAGATTTTGTGGTGAGGTCCTGTCTGATGAATAAAGGGGAAAACAGCAACGGGCTTTCCAAAAGAGTGGAGCCAAACCACACACACACACAAAAACAAAAGACTTCTGAAATCTGGAGACATGGCTTAAAAGCTTGTTTAGGAAGAGCACAACACTAAACTCCCTGGATCAAAAAACATTAGGTTTAATTATACATGTTTCAAGTCTTATTAGTGCTCTCCCTCTGAAGGTAATTACAGTCCCGCTACAAGCTCTCCCTCGACTGTCACTGTAAGAACTAGGCCCACGAAATGACTCCAAAATGAAGCCGTTTTTGCCCTATTAGTGGGGCCCTTTTCAAAAAGCTCCATCTCTGATCCGCCAGTCCCCTCCCTTCCCTCTCTCACAGGCTCCAACATAAAGGACTATTAGGAGGGTCTTCGGGGACAGCATCAAGATGCGATTTCAAACGTTAATATAAAAAAAGCCTATTCTGTCATTTTTGGTTCCCATTTTTTTGTGCTGTGAAATAAATAAAGAGTAAGAAAAAAGGATTCCCCCCCCCTTTTGTTGCAGTTTTAGAAGCTACCGTCTGCTATCTTATGTGCAGGAGGGCTAGGGGCGATGCCAGAGATGGAGAGGATTCGACAGCGAGGAAGTTGTTTCATTTTCACAGCATAGCTTTAATGCGCAGGCAGGGAAAAAAAGACAAAAATCAATCTCCTTTTCGCCTGTCATTTTTAGATCCTTACAATCTGGGAATGCTTTACCGCCAAGAGTGTTCGAAACATTCATACTGAAGTGACTCTCGCCCTCCCCTCCTAATCGCTTTCACACAACAGAATGTAAATACCAGGACAGAGCTGCAGTGCTTTGGAAATGACTGACCAAGATGCGCTTCAAATCAACACTTGTACAGAAAAAACTGAGCGGACATTTAACTGTGGTGTTATTTACTCAAAATCCCAGCTGTGAACCATATTTGCTTATCATTGTTGGGACAGATTTGTGATTTGTGAATCATCCAAGCACCAGAAATGCATTATTCATTGCTGCCTTCACCATTCTTCAGTGTCAGAAGTCCCAGAGAGTCAATGTCAGCTGGCAGCACAAGTTTTCACATCCGCATTTAGAGATGGACATGGACGCCAGTGGAGCAGTGGCAGGGAGAGGGCTCCTACCTCGCGGGTCACCTTGCCGTAGTTGTCAAAGTCGTACAGTGTGAAGGTCCACTCCTGGCGGTTGTCCTCCTCCAGAGACACGGCACATTCCAGCTCCTGGGTGGAAACCACAGCAGAAATCAGGGAAAGGTGACACACAAGAACAGGACATTCAGCCCTAACCAGGAGCTAAGTGAGCTCATTAGCACTGTTTCAGCATGGCTCGGTAGTTTGTAGTCTGTTGTGTTCTGTGACTGTGATTGCAGTCTGTCTGTACTGCAGGCTGTTTATTCATGCTTGTACTACAAGTATTGTAGTTGGTATATTGGAGACTGTTTTATTATTCTGTGAGATGAAATGTACAAGTGAGAAACTGCATATTTTACTGCTCTGAATTCCAGTTCCTATCCCTGCCATGACCACCCCCCCTCCCCCAGTAAAAAAGTGACAGTGAAAAAAGGGATAGACAGAGCCCCTGAAGACGGTCACCTCACCTCAAACTTGAGCTGCTTCTTAGGTCTTCCCTGCGCCTGGCTCTCCCGGTCCTGCGGCTTCTCCTCCACACAGCCACTGTCGCTCTTCTCCGGGGGCAGAGCCACTGGGGGAGATGCACAGCAGCATGAGTCAAACGGTCGGACGCATTTGGCATTTCCGAAGAGAAATAAATCGTGCTCCCTTCATCTTAACACCAAACAAGGGTGCAGAACCCTCAAAGCAAGTTAGTCAGGAAAGCAGTGCCGCAGCCCAGAGCTGGAGCCCCAGGTCAAGGGAGTAAAGCATGCAAGATGACTACACACACACACACCAAAGGACACCACTGTTCACACTCCACGCCGGTTCTTACAACAGGGTCTTGCAATGAAATACTATGAGTCAAAGGTCCCATGGCACAGAGGTCAGGAGATGGCACCTGTGGCAACTGTGCCACCTGTGGACCTCTCACGGTTGCTTCCTGCAGTGTACTGCATTCGAGTTACTCCTTTCCAGCTGCTTGTCTTAATGGGTTTGTATGTACATCCATCTTGTAACATCCTAACCCCATACAGGGTCGCAGGAGAGCCAGAGCCTATCCCTGCAAGCAACGGGCGCAAGGCAGGACACACCTGGATGGGACATCAGACCATCATAGCCCGTGTATACAAACACGCATCCACGTGGAACCTCGTAAAGTTAACGCAAATAGCACATGCCTGCTTTTTTTGGAGAATTTCAGGGTATGCGCCTGTGTTAACTGCGTGATCATTAAAAGGGTGCCCAGAGGCGACATGACTGGCACTTTAGCCCTCGTTCCCTGGAAAGCTAGAAGAGTGCTTGCTGATCCGCATCCAAACCTGCATTCGTTCCTTTTCCCGATCAACCCCACCGCTCTAGCTCCGAGAAGCGTCTGGAAGTCATTCAGGAATTGGTGAAAAAACCCACAGGCTAACTACACAAACAGTAGTCATTCTGTTTCTTCTCCAATTCAAAGCTTCCACGTGTTTTCCTCTATCAGACACAGAGTTTAGATGTTAAATACTAAAGGCCTGGATCAGTTGTGAAGAGTTACAAAATTGGCTTTATCCCATAGGTAGTGCCTGCCAGATTAAATACTTTCCTTTACCATCTCTGCCTGCCGTACTTTGAAGCTCTATTCTCAAGCTCCGAAATGCCTTTTGGATGAAGATCAGAAGGCTTTAAACAGAATTACTAATTAATTAAGCAAAGTTAAATTTTAAACAGTGTTTGTTGTGTTAGCCAAAAGGCCAAACACAACAGCCCTCTTTTTTCTCCTCTCTCTCCCCCGACAGATCAAAGAAGATCTGTCCCTTCCTTCAGCAGAAAAAAGGGGAAGGGGAAAAAAATTAATCTTTGCAGGCTTTGACTAAGTAAGTCGAGGCAAATAACATCAGTCCTGTCGTTTGATCAGTAGAGGCTTTCAAAGGGGACATTGTGCACAAGCAGTTGCAATGTTGCCAGCTCTATTTTCTGTAGATGATTATCTCCCAAGTAATGAGAGTAAAGAATATTTTAATCCGCCACTCCCCCCCACCCTCCCAGGAATGAAAACATTGTGCCTTTGAATGTAACTATAACACGGAGAGGATCTGCAGCAGAGAGAAAGCAGGACTGGATACTGTAGGCAAAGCTTCACCGGGCAAACAGAGTATTGAACAGGGAGCAGAAGAGCACTAGTTGCAGATTTCTTTGTGCTGTTTTCTTCAAAACCTATGACTGTGGGAACTCTTTCTTTGAAAAATGTCTCCCTGGAGACTCTTTGCCATCATCCTTCAGCTTTTGATATGCCTCACAAACTTCCTTAGGAGCCAGGTAGCCTCCTCCAAGGCAGGAATGATAGCACTTTTTAACAAAGCGTGCTTTCACACAGAACGAGGTGGATTGAATAGCCGATCTCGCCTATCAGGTTCTCGAGGAAAGCTGCGGCTGAAAGCAGGCAAGCTGGGTCTCGATAGCGAGACTGAGGCAGGTTTAAAGCACCGAGGGCCTGCGAGAGTCAGACTTCCAGACACCACGTGCAGGAAAAACGCAGGAGACGACAAAAACGATGGCGCACACAAGCCCGATTCAGGATGCAAACCTGGAATTTCTGAGACTTCCCTAACCAAAAAGTCCCATCTACCGCACATGTGGAAAATCTGGGAAGAGGGGGAATCTGTGCTTTGATCTTGGATTGCTTTCCACTCGTCTGTTTGTCCTATGTTTATCTCCCCTCTCTCCTCCGGAAACACAGTGCAGCACACGGTCCAGCCCCCGTTCCTTTCCTCCCTGCAGCAAAACACCTCTCGGTTTGCCCTCTCCCGCCCTGGCCCTCCCGCGAGCCCTTTGCGGGAAATCCTGAACAGCGGCCTGCAGTTTCTCGCTCGCACCTCAACGCCGAAACCTGAGCTCTCCAGCGCTCCCTCCCCTCGCACAGGAACACTCACACTTTCCATCCTCCAGCCGAGGGCTTTCATGTACCACAGGCCTTCAAGTCTGTCTGCTCTGGGCAACAAAGGGCACTTGTCACACCACCTCATTTACTAAAAAACACCGAGAGGCAAAAGCTCAACGTCTGCTCTGTGACAGGCTGCCCGGGATAGGAGTGTGGTGGTGGGGGGAGAGGGGGTTGGGTTATTAATGAGACAGTCGAGTCGCCCAAGCTGGTGTTATGTTAGTCACCTAATATAGATCCCAGCCTAGTTGGGTCTCCAATGAGGTGGGTTGTGTGGTCTGTGCAGCGCAAACCCTCCCTCACACCACCCGCGGGGGGCAGGTACAGTTCCAGAGCGGGAGATGTCTATAGAGAACCCCAAATAAGCACCGACGCCACCTGCTGGCACCCTTCCCAACTGCAGCCGGCACCCAGAAAACTGAAATGTATGTCAGTGGCAGGGGGGAGCAAGGGGGGGGAGGGGGGGGCGGTGGCGGCATTCATTAAAGGGAAAGACTTTTTGCCAGAACTCAGATGCACCGCAGAGCACCAACGATCTGAAACAGAAAATCCCTTTTATCCAATGTGTATCAACAGAGTCGGGCGCGCCAAGCCGCGCTGCCAGGAGCGCAGTATAAATAGCCCTCTGTCTCAGCGCGCCAGCTCCCGCTCCAGCTCCAGTGACAGAGCAAGTGCCATAAGCACCACCTGAGCTTGGCAGGGCGCGCCCCCCGAGTTCCAGACGGCTGCAGCCCTCGTTCTGGGGCGCGGGGAGCACGGAGCAGCGCGTGCGTCTCGAGCGTGTCGCTGCTTTCTCACCCCCCCGCAGGAACCCCTTTCTAAACAGTTTTCGCTCACACACGTGACCGGGACACCGCCCCCCGCACCGGAGAGAAACGACCGGCTCGTCCTTCAGGGCGGAGGAGGCGGCGGAATGTCACGGGTCCCTGTTAAACTGAACACTGTCGTTTCACCGGATTTCAAGACCCAAGTCAGCTGCACAAAAAAAGCTTCCGTATGGCTTTAACGTCACGTGGCAGACATCACTGCTGGGCTACCCAAACCAGCACGAGGGTCTCAGCCTGTAAGTGTGGAATACTGGACATGTGCTCATTTTTAAGGTGCTAACATGAACACAAACAAAATCAGCGACAGGAGTTTACTGCACCCGCGGCCTAAAGCTTTAGCCAGGCTAAAGCTTTTTTCAGAGAAATCGCCACCTAGCTGGTATGTGATCATTTCGAAGCTGATAGTCATCTGCTACAGCTGCAAGGTTCTAACCATTATACTGAACTTCAAAGCACAGTAAGAATGAAACATTCACTTGCAACAGCTAGTTTAAATGTTTCATTTCTTTTCTGGTGACACGTCTTAACGTTCTTGCAACGAACTCCCAGTTTTCCCTACTGGAGGCAGCACTCAAGCCTGAATACGTGCAGTTCATCTGACTGTCCAGAAAGGGGAATATCTGCACAACTGGACCCTGTCCTGTGCCCCCTTCTGTGCCCAGGGCACTGCTCCAGCCCATAGCTGGGCCCATCCATTCACTAAGGCTCTCTGTGCTGCTCTGGACTTTGTTCTGTTCGCTGGGAGTTCATGAGAAGAGAAAAGCCCTAATGCATCTGGCCCCTCTCACTTCACAGAAAACTTGAATCCGGGGGATCGTCACTCAGCTGCGAAGAGAGACAGATTAAAGGCCACGGATTCAGGGGAAGAGAATAAAAGCTCGAGCTCGTCCAGAGGAGCAGTGTTCTACTGGACGCTGTCCACCCCTCCCCAAATGCGCGACATCGTTCTGGGATGAAGACTTGAAACAGCCTACCTTCTAAGCGGTAATGCTCGTCGCCGATCCCTTCCCCGCTCGCCTCGCCAGAGGGATCCTGCAGAGAGAAGAGAAATGTTACACCTTTGTCCTTGTCAAGGAAGGAGAAAAAAAGCCCAAGATTAAGCAACGCCATCACCAGAGCAGACCATTCAGTCTGCCCAGCAGCTGATCAAGGATCAGGGCGAATTCTGAAGTTTAAAATAGAGCATTAGCCTCCACAGCAATAAAAACGACAAGTTCACAAACACAAGCAGAGTCCCACAGACCTGATGAGGTTCTTCCGAAGGACTCCAAAGAGTCTCTGTCATTATTTCTTCAGCAGGTCTGTGGGTCACCAGCGGTTTTTATACCCCCAGGATTAAATTCAGCGAATTTTTCATTTGACAACGGATCTTAAATCCGAGCCAATCCAGTGCCACGTATGGTCTGCGCACACGTACCAGGAGATCCTGGTGGACACAGGAGCAAGGGACATGATCAGAAGCTCTGCTGTGACACCGTGTGTGAAGATAAATCCCCACCTAGCTGGTATGTGATCATTTCAAAGCTGACAGTCATCTGCTACAGCTTCAGGGTTCTCACTGTTATGCCGAACTTCAAAGCACAATAAAAACAAAACATTCTTTTGCCACAACTGGTTTAAATGTTGTTGTTTTTTCTGGTGACATTTCGTAACGTTTTTGCAAAGGTTGGTCATGATCTGCAAGCAGGCCTTCCCCACGTCAGAGAGCTGCCCCCTCTCCCCCTCAACGCTCAGCCCTCTGCC